GAGACAGGTCCCCAGCTGGTGTCAGTCGGCCGTAGCTCCATTGGAGTCAATGGGGCAGGTCCCCAGCTGGTGTCCCTCGATGTTGCTCAGTTGAAGATGATGGAGCTCCTCCAATTCACTCCAGCTGAGGAGCCGGCCCATGTCTCCGAGCAGCTGACAAAGACCAGTTATTCCAGTCCCCGTTGAGGTGGGTCAGGGTCGTTGTCCCCCACTGCACAGATTGCAGAAGAGAGGTCCAGTGTCAGATTTGCATGAATAGCTGCCATGTTGGCGTGCCTCTGTTTTCGGATGAGCAGCTTGAGACGCTCCCGGCTGCTGCTCCCCGTGATGTCCGCTGGAATGGAATTGTGTTTTAAACAGAATTAAAAACCAGAACGCTCCTCAGCAAGGATTCCTGCAGGCGTTTCTACTGCGAATGGCGCAGGGAGCCCGTAGCAGGCCAGGAGTGGCTGAGAGGCGTGGCTCAGGTCCCAGTGGGGAAGGGGAGAAGCCAAGGGTTGACTGGGGCATGGAAGGTGACCTTGTCTCTGACTCCCGAGCCCCATTGGGCGAGGGCGTGTCAGCAGGGCAGTGAGTGTAGTTGATGTGGAGAAGCAGAGGACCCCGTTTCCAGTGCTGGCACTTTTCACCAGCACCCAATTCCTTCTCTCACGCAGTACCCCCCCCACACCTCACGTACATGTCCGCCCAAGCTTTCCTGGCTATGGTGAAATATGCGCAGCAGGCCGTTCCGCCAGGGTGAGATCCACCCCCGTGCAGAGAGGCTAGCACAAGGACTTAGATGCCACTGGAGCCCCGAGGGGCAATAACCCGTTTAGCCCGTACATTCACGGCTGGAGATCAGACCCTGTGGGCATGGGGGATCCAGGCTTTGTGCCGGCAGCTCTGTCCAGGGCTGGGTTTCCGCCTCCCTGCCTAATTTCTGAAATACTCCCGGCATCCCGCTGTCTCACTGCTCCCCACTAGGTGTCGCCGTTGGCCCAGGAATGCAGTTGAAACAGCTGCAGCCTGGAGGCTTGTGACAGTCAAACTCCCCCAAGATTTTCTCTTTTCCTCTTTCACTAGAAAATGCAGGGAGACCTGACCGCCAAACCACTGCACAGCGGGTGATCGGGCCCCCATGGCTTTCCAGAGGCTCCGATAGGATAGCGACATGGCACGGCAGCCTCTGAAATCATACCAGGGCACCTAAGCTCTGCCAGCCAGCCCCGCAGGGGAAGGGCCTGCCCCTTTAGTATTATTTGATGAAGAGAACTTGGTGCCGGTGAAAGGTCCCAGCTCTGTCACACGCCTCCTGGGGGACCTCGGGCAAGTCACTTAGGCTCTCTCCACCCCCCGTTCTCCCTCTGGCGAAGTGGGATAGGAATCCTGCCTTTGTCTGTTTAGATTGTAAACTCATTGGGGCAGGGACTCTCTATGACCATGTGTTTGTCCAGCTCCCAGCACAATGGGGCCTGATCTCAGCCGGCTCCTACCACCGTACAAATACACGAGTGATGATGTTACAGCAGATGCTGATGTCTTCTCCTCATCCAGAGGACAAGCAGAAGCCAAGCAGAGCATCCCTCCCCACCCCAGGCCTTAGCTGTAATCCAAAGAGAGGGGGACTTGTCTCCAGGGTCCAGTCGATCCTCCAAGGATCTCAGATTCGCTGGGCAAGGGACTGAGTTGCCTGACTCATTTTACAGGCCTGTCACATGGGAAGGACTTTCTGATCCCCAGCCATATGTGAAACAGTGACCTAGAGCTGAGAACCTCCAGCTCCCATTACCAGTTCTGCCCCGCTTTCCATCTCAGTGTAAATCCAGTGCAGAGGGTCTAGGGAGAAAGTATCTCCTGTGTTTACCAGCGAGGAAACCCGTCAGGAGCCCCCTGCTCACTGGTGAATAACCAAAGAGGGGCAGGGAAGGAAACATACTGTCAAGCTCTGAAGTATCACAGTCAGGCAGAGAAACATGGGGGATGCGGGCAGCGAGGAGAGAAACTGACCTGATGCTTTTTTCCTTCACAATGGGAAAGTCTGTAGACACAGTGCCTTGGCCTGCAGCTGCAGCAGCTCCCCCAGGCTCCCCAGCTTGGAGGGGAGACCCCCAAGGAAAACAGGGTGCTGTGGGGGACTCGGTAGGTGGTGCCCTTCCCCTCGAGTCGTAGCTGAGCTCGTGGTCTGCGTCAGATGAGTTGTAAAGCAAAGTGCTTGGCCGGTCTGTGGTCAGAATCAGGGTGTTAGCTAACTTTGGCAGCCTGGCTACATTAGAATGGGGGTCAATTACTTTGTGCCTAGCTCAGTTCCCCTCAGTGTCAAGTGTAGATGATCTTCTTTATCTCTTCCCCACTGCTCCCAGGAGTGGTGTTAAACACTTCCTGGTCATATTTATTATTTGTAGTGGGGCCAGGTCTAAAGACCCCAGTCCAGGGTCGGGGACCCATTGCGCTAGGGGCTGTACACACATACAATGAATAGACGTTCTTTGCCATCCAGAGCTTACAGGCTAAGACCCAGCTCCTCAGAGGTATTTAGGCACTTAATTGCCATTTAAATCAATGGGAGTTAGGCTCCTAAATACCTCTGAAGATCTGGGCCTAAGTAAACAGTGGCCTTGTTTCACCCCAGAGGTGGCTGCACATCAGTAGTGGGTAAATTATCCCTATTTGGGGTGCAAAGGAGATGGTAGTGAATGACAGGCTGTACTCTGGATGGCTCTGCAGTGCCGTCAGCTTAATTTGGGGGTCTCAGCACAGTTCCTGATCAATGCCAAAGAACCACCAGCAACTGGACCAAGGGGGCACCCGTTGGAACTACCAGTGATGAATGGGTCTGGGGGGATGGGGCAGCTCCGTGGCAGGATGGGGGAAGCTTGCCCTGTGGCTGCTTGTCCTGGGCCTGCTCTGTGAGTACTTGACACCACTCTCCAGAGGTCAGTCCAGCTCCTGGCATTAGCGTGAACCAGGAGGGGGCTGGGGAGCAGATCTGTCCCCCTGCAGACAGCCCTTCCTTGCAGCGCTGTGATTCCCCTGCTCTCTGCCCCCACGCAGCACAAGCAGGAGGAGTTGGAAGGTGAGGGCTGGGAATACGCCTCTCTCTTTGGCTGGAAGTTCCACCTGAACTACTGCAAGACGGACACCTTCCGCCGCCGTCGCTGGAGGCGCCGCATGGAGCCGCTGGAGCGCACCGGAGCGGCCGCTGTCTTTGCCCTGGAGGGCGCTTTGGTAGGTACCCGGGCAGGCTTTATTGCCAAGTCCTGGGGTTTCGGAAGATTGTGGGTGGAAATGGGCTTGAGCCAGGAAATTCAGATCCAATTTGAGGGAGGGACCTAGGGAGGTCTAGGTTGGACATTAGGAAAAAGTTCCTAACTGTCAGGGTGGTTAAACACTGGAATAAATTGCCTAGGG